AAACCTTCGGGAGTTTATTACACCTTTTTTTACTGAGAATTTTGAACACTATTTATTACGTATCATGGGTGATAAATATTCAGGATTCAGCCTTTTTTAAAAAAATTTTTATTTTTGCCAACGTTTCAACCCAAACATGTGGGTCATCTTCAGGACGTGGTTTGAGCACTGACGTGGTTCATGTACTGAAGTACAAATTTTTTAAAAAAGACTACGTCCTGAATATGTATCACCCATGATATGTAGAACAGTTGACTAACTTCCTTCAAGAATTTATTTATTACGTAGTATGTTTCCTCGTCAAAAACATTTTCATCCGAGAAAAAAAAAATCGTATGATCCGAAATCTATCCCAACCATTTATCTTATGTTATTCAAAATTTCTAATAATGATTAAAATTAATATTACGAAATAAACAAAATTAAAAAAAAAAATCTATTCTCGATGGAGGTGGCAGTTCTAGAAGTTTATCTGTTTTTGGATTTGAGAGCATTAGGTTTATCTTAAGTGCATATACCGTACATAGAAAGTTAAATTGAATTCGAAGATATAATCGTCGTGGTAGGCTGTATGGATATCTTGTACGTTTTAGGATTTTTGTCGGAGGATTCATGTTGTACGTCAGGCTTTGGTGAAAATTATTATAGTTTTTTATTGCAGGGTCTAAAATTCTTGGTACGTTGAAGTTTTTATGCAATACAACATTTGCGACATAAAATGGTGCGTCAACCATCCTTCGCAACACTTTTGACTGCAAGTTCGCGTTTCAGACATCAAGCAACAAACCGTCCCATGACAGCCTATAGTCAGTTACAAGTGACAGACAAATCACCTATTATTTAATGTTAACCCGATCTTAATGAAATGTTGAGTGAATGAGAGGGTTCTATACGAACTTGATAATATTGAATCAACAACCGTATTTATATGAATATTCTTAAATCAATAAATTGTATGTACTCATAAATTAATGAAACGTACAAATACACAAATGTGTGTAAATGTATTTGTATACGCATATAAATCAATAGTATAAATAAATAGTATAATCTCATAATTTACACATGATCAACGTTATCTACTTTCCAGATAAAACATTGCCAGATTATTATTATTTTTTTTTAATCTTTCACTGTAATCTAAGGTCAGTTATCACTGATATATATTATCAACATTTTGTGTGATAGATAGATTTGATTGAAGTAGAATAAAGCAACGCATATCTGCTCTGAAGAGTATACAATTTTTGTCTTAGCAATCACTATATGTAGCAAAAATTACTATTGTCAATTTACACATATTATTTTTCAAATTCTTCTTAATACTTAAGAATCATTAAGAAATAAATTTCATGTATAATATTGGTCACAAAAACACACATGTAAAGATGAATAATAAAATCGAAAAAAATAGTAGTCTTAATCTAGTTATCACTGAATTGAACTTTTTTTTACAACAAATTAAACAACAAAGCCTACAAATGAGTTTGATTTACAAGATGTATAAGAACTAGACTAAAGTATTAGGTGCATTAAAAAATACGTCAGTGATAATTTCTTAATAAATAAATATTTTGTTGATAATTCATAAAATGCCTATTTTATGAAAAAAAAAAAAAAAAACCATATCAAAAGAAAAAAAATCCAACTATAGAATAATATCTATATTATAATAAACATAACATAAGAAGGCTCTGGAAATAGTGTGTTACATTTCCAAATTTTGAAGGTTGTCTTCTAACCACTCGTTTTTCAGGTTTTTAGAATATTCTAATCCATTAGGAAGTGAGCGAAAAGGTTAAATTCTGGGCTTTAAAAATTATTTCACAATATTTCATTTAGATTACTTATTTGCTTTTTTGGTATTAGTTTTTTTCTTAATTTAAATATTTACTTTTGAAACACTATTATATCCATAATATTGTATGAATATTAATTAAATTTACTAATAAGTTTATCTATCTAGCGTTATTTAGTAAATAATTATTTATTTTTGATATCTTGTAAATAATTTTTATAGGAATTAATTTAATGTTTTTTATTTATCCTTTTCAAATCTCAGCTTTATATATGGTTTTGTTTTTTATATATGCTTTTTCCTTTATTTTCATTGTGCTGTATCATAGATACATTTTAAGGTCTTGCTGATCCTTCCGTAGTTCTCTTAATCTTTAATCAGGGTGGTGTGGCTCACTTCTATCTCGATAATTTTCTTCTAAGGCTATCTGGGATTTACGACGACAGTCCCGTAATACTTTATTCTTTCCTTATTATTTTACTAGATATTGTTAATCAGATGGATCAGTTGAGCAGCATGCGATTTTATTGTAGTTCTTCTTTTCCTGTAAGAGGTATACACGTGGAGTATATGTATATAGAAGAATATAGAACACAAAGCTCAAAGTAAGCTGCGGATTATTCTTAAAATAAAAAGTTAAATTACTAACAAATTTAACAACGCTCCCATAATAATTTCGGTGTATAGGAAACGTTTAAATTATTAGTATAATTTTAGAAGTTATTTTTTTACTTTTAATGTTTAAGCTTTTTAACTTATCGGGATTTCATAGTATTATCGTGTTTATAAATATTCATATTTCCGCACTAAAATACAGGTTTACGTTTTTACTTTTAGTACACTGTCTACAGGCTATGACACTGTATATAATGTTATGAGTAAATAAAAAAATTTTGTTAAGTTTCCTTGTTTTAAGGTGTATCTTCTTCAAGAACAGAACGATTTGCAACGTAACGCATAATTCAGAGGTATAATATAATGTATTTAAATTTATGTAATTTCTAATTTCTTTAGAAAGTTATAAAATTAAGTTAATAATTAAGCTAACAAGATCTTTATTTATTTATTATTTTTCATTTTATAATATGTTGACGGTTCAGAGTTATATATTGTCAAAACATTGTATATTTCTTCTGGAAGTTTTTGGAATTTGTAATAATTTACTGTGTAATTGAACTTGTGTAGTTAAATAACTTCCTCATTATTTTAAAATTTATTACCTACACATTGCACGGCTGCTCAACCGTGTTGTGTGGCTAAATAACACAGCATATAATTAAGCATATAATCAATCAATTGATAATACTGTATACAAATATAAGAGAGAGTTATGTCGGTCCATTACAATACAATACAGATCTGCCAAGAACAGCTCATAGAATCAAATATGTATGAATGTAAACATAGAACAATAATGCTCAATGCCCTAGATTGTGGCAGATTGTATACTTTTTCTTAAATAAAATTAATAAGATAGATAGAATCAAATAAGTTTTTTTTTTTAGAACGGTTTGGGATTTTGACCCTATCATTAGTCTATACAGTTTTTTTGTAATCATTCCATTATCTTATGTAAAAAATGGCTTTTAACAATCAACAATCAGATAATTAACTTTGTAGTCAATAAATATATAAAAATTAAGAAGTTAAATTAAGAAGTTGTAAATAATTAAATACAAAATACAGAAATATGGAATCGTAACGTAGTCAACACTACTTAAAATGTTAATTGTTTTGAATTAAAATAGCTTTCATTACTGAAATACCATGTTATTTCTTTCATTATTAATTTGAGATTATTTATTTTTAAAAATATATATGATAGTTTTCTTTTTATATTTCCTTCATAAAATTCTGAAAGGAAAATGATGAATGAAGGTTGAGTTTATGTTTTCTCATGATTTAAATAAATTTTTCTCCATTCTGTTTCATCGTTGGTATGTTTAGAATTGTATATTATAGTTTTCAATGCTTTTCCTCTATTGCAAAACTAAAACCAAGCCCGTATTGAAACCCCACTTCACCAACGAACGGTTTTCTTGGTCTTCTTAGCAGATTTTTTCGTAATGACAGTGGTATTGGCTTCACTATTATTTTTCTTTTCCCTTCTTGCCTAAAGACGATTTATGAATCCACCAGTAACGAGTCCAAATTGATAGATCTGGCCATCAGAGCTGATTTGATTGGAATGGTAAATAATGTAGAATCGATCATCCAACAAGCTACAAGAAGTCAAGCAAGATGTCCTCTCATGGAAAACCTCTTCCATAAAGTTCAGATCTGAGGAAGTAATCCGGAAACGACTAATAACAGAGAATTCAGCCTTCACAAATGGATACCTGATGATAGGCCTGGAACTGCCACTTTATGAAACACGTAACATCTCTGTCAACGGAACACAATGGAACAACACACAAAAAATACTCTCACTGCATTAAACATATAACACTTTCCACAATGGCTTTCAGATAACACTTTCAGATGATGAAGACAAAATTCAAAATATAATTACTTAAATTCTTACAAATTAATAATTTAATATTATTTTTTTAAATATTCATAATTGAAAGTTTAACCATGTACTCAACTCATCATATTAACACTGTGCATATTTCTTGTTTGAATTATTAATTTGTTTAGGCAGTGTTGTAAAATAAATTAATCAGAACGAAAAATTCCTAATTATATTCAATATTGGATTAATATGTGCGTACAAAATTACTTATAATAGATTACATTCATATTTATAAACATGATGCATTTAGAAACGTTACTAGGAATAACGATAATTATCTTGAATCTAATAAAATATTTGTTTAAATCTTTATTATTTTTTTTATGGAGTTATATTACACTCAATCACAAATAAATATATTGTTAACAGTGATAAAAAAGTTCATTAACACCATATTCAGAATAAATAAAAATAAATTAAATGGAATAACAACGAAATTTTTTCTAAAATAAATAAACTTAAAATAATCAACATAAGTAAATAAGATCATAAATATAGACATATTTATTTATGATATTTATTGTTATAAAAAAAAAATAAGCTTTATTTATTCCCCGATTAAGGTTGAATTATGCAGATTCGGTCGTAATATAACTATTGCTGAATCCATTTGATGTTATCCTGATTATTATCATTAGACATAGCTATATTAAAAATGAAATAATACAAAATAGAAGGATTACGAACCTGGGCAGGATTACGAAATCGTCCTGAACATGGCTGTTTCCCGCGCCCATAACTGTAGGACTGCCTTTAACCAACTGATGTCCTTTTCCGCTAATTTCTTCTGTGTCCTCCCCCCACCAACAGTTTCGTATACGAAACAGAGAAAAAACTTATCTTTCTACAGATAATCCAATATATCCACCATTATTTAATACCAAACAGGATATCTTGTGTTTATTTTTTCTAGTTGATTTCTTGTTCATCTTTTCTGAAATCCCGAAATTCTGTATACCAAGGGAGCAACAAGGGTTAATTTAATTTGGACCCCGAAATTTTCCAATTAGCCTATATTTTCTAATTAATTTCTTTCAATATGTTAAAATACTAATTACCTATCTCTCGCTAATGATTACTTAGTCAAAAATTCGTTTTATAAATATTTATATTTCGTTTTACGCTACATACCATTTAGATCTTTGGCCATGCGATGCGGTCTTATTAAAGGCAAGTATTGCTAATTGGAGTACAGATAGCCCGAAGGGGGTCACTCAACCTCACGTTGCTACGAACCATGGTCTTCATAGCCGATCCCTTTGGTGCCAATCTGGCAGTGCCCTCACCACAGACTAAATCGGGTTCAAGTACAGCGACAAATCGGTCTTGATCCATGTGTCGTGACGATTATATGGATTATAATTCTATTCCAAATTCAGGTATACAGAATAGGACCGTCATTCCAAGTCGCTATTAGTTTCCCCTGAGTGACTGAAGAGTCTAAAATAACATGAGACAGGACAGGAACAGAGTGGCTTTTGGAATGACCAATTGCATCTCCCATTCTCCCACGAAGCCCGAAGTTCTCAACTTTGTCTATCGCAAGCACCTTAGGTCGTTCATTGCGATCTCTTGTTTTTACTCATATCTATAACTGTAGGTCAAAGATAAACAACTTCAAATCAAATTTAGCTAATTTTATTATCTTATTTTCCTTATATTGGCCATATTTCCTCCGGAAAAATAAGCAAAAAGGAAGATGATAAGATCGGATAATTTGATTTTTTGAGGCCCACCAGTCTGCTACAGACAATAATATTCATCCACATTCTAAAATATAACATATATGTGCCACGGAGGTAAAATATGTCCTTTTTTTCATTAAAGGAACAAATTTTAATAGCTCAATGTTATTGAAAATTGGCTGCGCGGACAAACACAAAAATGGGACATGGTGTCCTTTACCTCCAAAATATAGATTTAGTAACTAAGAAACACATTTTAATAGATCAAAGTTATAGAACATTGGCTTCTTTGAACAAATACAAAAATTGACATGGTGATTAGTCCGGTGTACAGAGAGAAACATCATATTTTCATATGAAACCTTGCTGCCCAATTATATTGGGTGGCTAGAGACATAGCATGGATAATTCTTTGGAAAATCAATATTACTTATATATGAATATAGAGAACACGTTGGATATATGAGTATAATAAATATATATATATATGTATATATATTTTTTGTTTTCTTGTTCATGCATTTTTTTTAAATATTTAAATTTATCTTTTTCTCCCTTTCCTTTCTTTATCTCTGTTTATACATAGCTCTTTTATTCTATAAGTTTGTAGAAGTAGATGTTTAAAATTATAAAATCGAAATTATAACAAAAAAAAAGTGTGTATACATCATAAATTCTGATAAATTTCAGCGAAATATATGCAAGCTTTGATGGCAATGCTTTGGATCGAAGGCTGTTATAAACACAACAAAAAAATAAGTTATTGTTCAATATTAAAGAGGATGGAATATCAGATAGAATATACAACCTATTTATACCTTATCTATCGTATTTACTAATTTCTTCTATCTGCTATAGATGTGACTGGATAATAATAATGCCTTAGCACTGGTTTCATATTACTCGTTGCGTAATTTGATTTCAATAAATAATTTAATATTGCTAAGTAATATTTAATGATATTGGGGTCCTACGAAAATGAAATTCAAGCTTTGGCAAATAATGGCCAGCCTCATATCATTTCAGGAAAGTTTCAGTTTTTATCGTTAGTCTTCATAATTAATTATTAGTCCTTTTACAGCTAAAAATGTCAAAGTGTATATTGTCTTAAATATTTTTTTATTATTTAATATTCTGATATATTCTTGGTGATGGGACATACCTTCATCAAGAATTTGGTGAAGAATTTCGACTTGGGTTCTAATAATATTTCGAAGTACGTTTTCATATAATTAATTATACAAAAATGAATTTTTTTTTTATTTCTTATTTATTGATGTTTACATCTTCATTATCTAAGCTTCGTACTATTCCCACAGTATCTGGATATATCTGAGTGATGAATAATTAATTATATATTTATTCCTAAAGCCATTATTTGAAACAAATAAAAATCATAATATTTGTATTGATTTTACCTTAGTTTTTATATTATGTGGTTAGAATATAATGTTATTAAACTATTTTATTTATTCTATACCAAATGCTTCATATTTTGTATCGTATTCAAAAACTAAAATATTAACCGAGAAATGAATTTTATAAGACCTGTGTTAACCTGATTGTCACAAAACATCGCCACTGCTAATATAAACGTCCTCTTACTTTTTTGCTAATTTATTCAAATAATTTACACTTACTATTATTTTCAATCTCTTATTATTAATTCTGAATTTTTAACTGATTTTCTTTCGTTATTTTTAAGACTGTCATTCATATTTTACTTTATTAAAATAGGTTTCTCTCATTATTTTTTTAAGTTTCAGCAGCTTCATAAAATCTGTAATATTGAAATGAAATGAATGAAAATATATTTTATTATTCTGGGACTGTTGTCCCTTTAGGACAAATTATAAGTACAGATTGCAAGTCTCTGTGGTCATGAATAAATTATATATTTACATACGAGTTAATTAAATAAGAATATAGAAAAGAAGAGAGAAAAAGACAAGAGAATTGTACATATGTATAAAAAACTAAAATAACCTAAATAAATTGAGGTAGTCTATGAGGATACTAATTCTAATGTATATTTCGTAATTAGTCGGATAGAGAAAGGAGAATGTGTTTAAAGAGGAGAGGTTTGAAAGAGGAAACTGATTGTGCGTGTCGAATATCAGCAGGGATGGAATTCCAGAGGGAGACGGCTTGAATTGCAAAGGATTTGCCAAACGCAGCAGTTCGGTGAGGAGGAGGATAGAGGTCGGAAGTACGAGATCTAGTGGGACGGGAATGGATGGAGTATTTGAAATGTAAACTGTGAAAAATATAAGAGGGTCGATGAGTTCTAATGATCTGGTACAAAAAGGTATATAGGAAGTACTGACGGCGATAGGATGGAAAGAGCCACTTCAACTCGGTGTAATACTGGGCAATATGCGTATCTCTTGAGATTCCGAAAACAATTGATTGTATTGCCTCCCGACCCGAGGACAAAAGATCTCAAATGTACTTGATACATTTTTTTAAGTACAGATCTATAGTATAAGCTACATAGTAGATATCCACTTTCTTAAAGCGGGTGGAGATTCAAGAAACGCCATGCCGTTACATTTTATGAAATCGTATTAAATCGTCTTTCTATGGTTCCAGAAATAATCTTTTAAATGCATGAAATAGCCTAAATTAACCTTTATGGCTCCCAAAGGCGAATTGTCGGCAAGAAAATATATTTGAGCGACGGTACCCAGAAGGTTTCTATGTTAGCAATATTTTCTTTTTCACTAAACTGATTCTATTTACCTTTGGTTATTGAAAAATATTTCAATTCCCACATGATAATCTTCGATATCTAGCACTTAATAGAAACTTTAACAGTTCTCAGCACTTTTTAAAACAAAACTTTTGTTCTGTAAAGGAAATAACACAAAAGATTTCCCAGAGAAGAAGCTGCTACTTCCAGAAATAATTAGGAACGCCCTTGGCCGCTCGTGACCTGCGGTGACATTAAGCCTGGAACGTGGACTCTGATTTTCTCCCTTCGTGGCGACCTAGATCCAGGTAGGCTTTGATGTTACTCTAATATCTTACATAACAAGCCAACGCATTGGAAAAATAAACATTGATATTAGCTACAAGGGCCTCAACCAAAGGGAAAACCGGCTCAACAATTTCTGTTCTACGATAATATAATAACATGTAATCAAAGGATAAATTGCTCCTCGATTTCTGAGCGATTTCTTCACCGCATAGCCTCAATAAGTATCTTGCAGATAGTAGCAAAAATCTAATAATATGTAATAATTATAAAATAGAAGGATAAACTGGGGCTCACAGGTCAAAATAAAACGGAAGATTTCATACAAGCGACTGAAATTCCTATAATCTATTTTTTAATAATCAAAACTGAAAATCAGACAAACACAATCACATACCTACTTAAATCCTAATGGACACATATGCCTCATATATTTACGATTCTGCGAAAATTCTGCCTAATTCTTTTCAGAGGTCTCTACGGGTTATCAGGAATTGAAGAGCAAGCGAGGCTAGAAACGACAGGGTTAGGATTGTTCTGAAATTTATGATGGAAGCATAGGTGTCTGGATTGGTCCAAAAGATAACTATATTTAAATTTGAATTTTAAATTCATAATAAAAAAAAAATGATCCCAAAATAGCTATTATTCAAAGTCATAATTGAGAAAATTAATAACTAGAATAATTTTTCTGTGAATTCTTTGTTTTTATTATTTTTTTTTATTCAGATTTCATTAAACGTTAACCCATGAATATTCGTCGAATTTGGTTCAGTAATTGTGAATGAAATTGATAAGTGGGAGTATTCATTACATTTTGTAATTTCTAAGACGTAATAGCCTTTTATATTTTTTTCTTATTCATTTCTCATGTAGGTCGGTCAACGTTGCACGTTAACTTTTTTTTTTCTTGACTTATTAAATATTTTTTAATTGTATTATATAGATTCACTTGACCAAAAATCGTTTCTATAATCTCAAATAATTCTAATATTCATTTTCTATTTACCACAGACGTTATTAGGGTGAGAACTGACAAGCAATAACTTAGTTATGACGAATCGCAAAAAAATAATAAATAAAAATTAAACATAAAAAAAAAATTGT